TGGGATGGGGCCTTCAGATGAATAAACCAGGTGAGCTCGCACGACAATAGGTCGGCAAAGACGGGTAATGAATCCAGCACTGGATACCTTTTCTTCTAAGGCGTTCACCTATACAAATGTGAGAAAAGATATAGAGAGTCTTTAAAGAAATGAAAAAACTCTTTGCAAAACTGCCGTCATGGCGGGGAGCAAACCCTCACCCTACGCCTATGAAACGAGACCATTACCACCAGGCCACGTTGGCATTTAATAACGTAGCGACGAGTTCGCATATCCAATTGTACTCCTGTCAAGCAAATTTCGAGCCCCCGTAACTTTTGAAGGAAAATCATTTTGCAGTTTTAATTTCCATTTTCGTAAACAGCATTCAAAACTCTATCAATCTATCTGAGTCTCCATTCAAAGTCCCACGGTAAGTAGACTACCCCTCCCTGATAAGTTTCGACGGACGCGCGGAACGGACTTTTACCTCTCTCGACACCCTTACTGTCCCTTATATTGGTTTTCTCAGTGCACTACTAGTGAAACATTCCCGCGAGGAGATGAGCAGCACAAAAAACGGCTCCTGTGGTTAGTAAGTTTATAAGAGAACCTCTTACTGCTGGTAGGACGCGGAGTCTTGGCGGTTTTGGATCGCTCGTCCATGCTGCCTGGACGGCTTCAGGCTCACATACCTAAATCCGGTGAGCCATTCGGTATTAATGATGTGGGGCTTCGTGGAATTAGATGGTTAGAGACGAGTTCGTGGTGGCGGAAGAAGTGAGTAGAAAGTCGCTGTTCGATGGAAAGAACCAGCGAGCAAAGAACTGTTCCTACAATAAGCATTCAATGAGTAAAGTAGTATGAAAAAACAAATCACTCCTCGCAACTCAAATGCGTGGCCTTGAGGGTGCCTCTGCAGGGAGACAGCATTTGGCTTGCAAAATTTGGAAGGAGCCTAATCGCAACTTGAGTTATCATTTCTCTAGCATTGACATCGACAAGTCACTTCAATCCAGTTCTCTTGGGCCCGCTGTAGATCACATCGGTCTGTTCTCCACCCGCTCCATCCCCGGTGGTACACTTCTCTGTCATTTCTCATCTAGAGATTACCATTAACTGGACCCAGCACGTGATACGAGGCATACAGAACAAATGTGGCGACCAGTGTGCACACCCTATTAGGAACAGTTGCCCATCGGCAAAGTTTTGGCACGAGGATGATCGACAGAGCGCTGCTACATCAGAAGATTGAAAGCGGTCAAATGCTGTGAGCAGAATGTTGAAGCGGATTCTTAAACCTTCGTAGTTTTGGACGGAATGGTGGCTTCTTCTTTCCTGCTGTGTTCCGTAAGAAGGTAAAAACCATCTTCTTCTGAACTGCTTAAACTGCAAATTTCTGAAGATTTAGGGATGTTGAAGCTTGGGAGCCTCGAAGCTGGTTCTGCTGCTTATTGTTTAACATAAAGTAAAAGAAAATTTTCAAGATTAACAGAAGGCGGTTAGGCCTGAGATTCATTTCTTTCTTCAACTTAGTTGCTACTCACTCACCAGAACCAAAAGCGCCTGCTCTTCAAACTATTCGCTCTCAATTTGCCTTTGCCTACCCTCTTTTAGTCAGTGAATTTCACAAGTACAACCAGGACGATATGCGCTGCTGCAGGTCCGATGGCTTAGCAGGATAGAGCCCACAATCCCTCCAGGAGAGGGAGTGTGGACACGGTCCTGCTGAGCCATCGGACAGCTCGGTTAAGCCGATGCGGACTTCAGATGCCATTAGCCGGCTTACCGGGCTGTCCAAGTCTAGCCATTGTGGTTCCATGGTGTAGCGGATAGGGGCCCGGATTCATTTCTATGAGGTGACGGGTTCGCAATCGCGGCGTTACACAACAAACTTTGTGTTTGGGTCTACGCATGAGAGCGCATTCAAGCTGGGCCTGCGGAATAGGTTGATAAACTTAGCATGAAGTGCAGATTCCGTAACACAGCGGATCCCTCACATAGCCCATTTAACTTGAGCATTTCAGAAATTCCTACTTACGATCTCCTTAGCAAACCATAACGCTTCAGTCTAGAAACTCTACCATGCATGTACAGTGTTCATGTCGAAGGAATCCTTGAAGCTTCGGAAAGATGAAGATCAGCAGGTTGCAGCCCCCATCTAGTCTGACAATAAACAAGCCATTCTTCTTCCATAGTACGCAGAAATCGAAAAGCTTTCTCTTTCAATTTTTGAGGTATCTTGGAGTTTCAGTCAGTTTTCCTTACTCAAAGCAGGTAGAATTCCTCTGCTGGCAGCCCACTTTCTGAATAGATGTGCAACCCGACGGCAAATTGGTCCCGTTACCATCACTGCTTGCGATGTATCTTGGGTTTTTTCGCTGATGATTATCCTTGTACAAGACAGTATCAACCAGGGAACCGCACATTCTTGAAGCGAGCGCACGCCCTTGAAAAGTACTCGGAAAAGGCATCACTCCATAACTGCCAGAACCTGGCGAGACCAACCATCCCCCGATTTTCCGAGAACTTTGTAGCTCCCAGGTGAATGACACTCTTCCGAGGACTTTGAAGCTCCCAGGTGAATGACACAACTCCGGTTTAACACGTCGCAAGCAGGGATGGTAAGGGGACCGTTTTGCCGTTGGGTTGCACACCAGCTCACAAAGTGGAAAAGGTTACACGGACTAGTGCAAATCATTCGCTCCACTGACACTTATTGGTTAGTGGTACTGTAATGTCATTTCGTGATCGCAGTGGGCTGCGCCGCACGCAAATTGGGCGGGGTGACCTAGTTGACGGACGCGCGGCAACGAACCTTCCCCGTTCAAAAAGTGTTCACTTACAATTGTAGTGACGAGACTACGACAGCTCTTAACTACAGTATCACTTGAGAGCAAAATAATATAGGTTTCTGTGGTTCAACCACTTGCCACGCGGCGAAACAGCAATCAAAAATTTATAGCTAAACCAAAGAATTGCAAAAACGAACAAAAGAAGTGTATACAGAGGTCCCTCTAAACCACTCGGGAACTTGGAGCAATACGCCAAATCACCTATCTCGCTCATTAGGGATCAAGAATCGCTAGACTTGCTCTCAAGGAACATAGTAAGTTTGCGAGAAATAAACGTGTAAGGCTGGAAGACTGATAAGGGTTCGTCGCTGTGCTTCAGGCAATGTATTTATGAAGTCCTTACATAGCCTGCCTGTGTTCTCTGATAACATCGCTCTTGAGATATTCTGATTCCTCGCATATAAGCGCACTGATGTTATTGGAGAGAGATCTCTCGTTCTGCACGAACTCGCGGATTCCGCGGTACTCCCGGCCGCAAAATATAGTCGCAAACGCGCCCCGAGATCGATGATGATCGTTCTTCATCTCTTTGAGGGTGAGTTCCGTAGGACATTCAACTGGCCCAGAATCCGATGAGCTGTCGTCCGAAGTTGAGTTTTTTGTGTCACAATGTCCAATAATTTCCCGCAAAGTGCAAACAGCCAAAGCATGGCCGGTTTTCTTGCAGTGGTGACAGGATTTCTTGAATTTTGGACATGAGGTATCCTTACTACACTGAATTTCCAAGCATTCTACAGCGTCTTCGCTTTCCGATATAATCTAGCTGTTTCGCTACGGTAGGTACATGTCTACAAGAGTCAGAATAGCGACTCCTGGGTGTTACAGTCAGCTCGGCTAACTCCTGTCTCGGAAAGCAGGTTTTATCTTGCGAAAGTTTTTGAGTCGTTCGTATACGCTGCTTTGTTCGGGTTCTAGGGCCTCGATATTTCTAACGAGAGTGTCATCGCCTGGTAATCCTCAAGGTCTTAGTTGACAATTTACATGTATTCCACGTTTCCCATTCTTCTCTTGTTCGTCCTCTTGAATGGTATTGCCCTCCGTGTGCACCTGTCTTTCACCGTCAGTTTGTGTGTGGTTTGTGGTTGTTTCTAGGTGTCGTTCTTGCTGTAAAGTTCCTTTTGGTTCGCTGAACTGTTTGTTGAGCATATTCAGCTCATTGCAAATTTTCTTCCCAGCGTCATCTTCCTGAAAACGTTCCTGACAAAGGCATTCTTCGCGTATATCTTTTATTTTTATGAGCAACTCCTCGATCGTTTGCTCGTGATCGATTAGTATCCGTTTGATATCATGTTGGTCTGTCAAATGTGGGACCGTTTCTCCGGGCTGTTCTGTATAGTCCTGCGGGGTAGTCATATAAGACTGCCATGCCTTAGTAGACGTAGCTTTTATCGCAATCATAACTGGGACAGCAGAGTATAGAGCAGAGAGACGTTGTCGCACGCTTCTCAATCTCAAAGAATAGTTTTTGACAGTTAGTTCTTTTATTTGGGCGTTTCGCTTTAGTATCCCCCACGGTTCGTTGCCTTGAAAAAAAAGAAAGCTATATATACTCTGTCTTAATATTGTTTATCAACTCAATAACCGGCACATAGTTTCGCAACAACAACGGACTATGTGTTTGCATAGCTGATCAGGAGGGGAAATGACGGAAGAGCCGATTTGAGTGGCTTTAGTTCTGTCTTGGCACGTTATCGTTCGGTGCTTTACCCAGATTTTTCTGCAAAAACTTAATTATTAATAAAGTCGCTTTTTGCAGTGTTTTTTGGCAATGTACTTTCTCGGGCTGGATGCGAAACTTCTCGTTCAACTGTCGCCAACCAATCGTTAAAAGGGGCCGATGCATTATATNATTATATAAACTAGATGTATAGGTTTCCGTGGTTCAACCAGTTGCCACGAATGGAATGGCAAATACAAAAATTCACTGCTAAACTGAAGAATCACAAAAAAAACGAACAAAAGAATAATCAGAAATTCTAGATACCTGGTAGGAACCTCCATATCCCTGAACCACTTGGAAACTTGGAGCGGTCCGCCTAATCGCCTATCTCGCTCATTAGGGATCACAAATCGCTAGGTTTACTCCCAAGGGATATAGTAAATTCGCAAGAAATAAACGTGTAAGGCTGAAAAATTATAAAAGTTAGTCGCTGTGCTTCAGGCAATGCATTATTTATAGAGTTCTTACATAGCCTGCCTGTGCTCTCTCATAACATCAATCTCATGAGACATTTTGATTCCTCCCAGATAACCGGGCTGATTTTAAAGAAGAGAAAGAATTGCTCATTTTGCATGAACTCGCGGATTTCGCGATATAAAATTTGATGTTGTCTGGGAGCCGCGGAGTCTTCCACAGATGAGTTGAGCGGATTATTTTGCCTCTCATAGAACAATGTGCAGGCCTTAATGTAGCCCTGAAACATTGTGTAGGACGTGTCAGCCTTCTGCGATGAATTCAAGCAACGTTTATTCAATAAGAATGCTAGCAGAAAAATAGAGCGCCACTACATAAGATCCAGAGGCTTAGAGGGTCAGTTTGTATGCCTGTCGCATAGTTCCGTACTATCCAAAATTACACTCGACACTGCCGATTTAAGTTTTGAATGGTTGAGGTGTCAGATATGCACTAGAGCGAAAGGCAAGAACTTTCCAATTCACCCTCAGAACAATTCAAAGTTCGACAAAGGCAGTTTTTAAACTTTTGATTACTACTGTGTATAATTATCTATCAACGTGATCTACACAATCGAGGTTATTCCAATCATCCCGGGACTCTCCTCGAAGTATGTCCAACTGGCTTCGAACAAATTACCTAAAGTATTGAGTAAATTGGTAGCTGATTGTTAGACTTTCCCATTAAGCCTTACGAGAAAGATTGGCCATCTTCGCGTCTTTCGAATGATGGGAGCCTACCAGCCTATATATTTAATGAGTAAGACCCAACACGTTATTTGTACCCACTCGTTGGAATCAGTGATAATATAGGTGATACTGTGCAGCTTGTATAAGCCTTAACCAGTTACTGTTACCCTGCATACGCCAGATACACACATACACACACAAACGCCGGATGTATGCACTCCACGTGCATATATCTTCAAACACACGCTCACTCATTCTAATACAGACACAGGCACACAGTGATATACACATACTCTCTCACATCTGCGCAGTCGTCTGTTCTCCTGTCGATTGATTCAGATTTGTACATACCCTTACTGAACGGGACGTGACATATGCTCGTTGACGCTATGCTTGGAATAGGATTGTGATGATTTCGTGACTTAGATCAGGAAGTTCAATGTCCTGATGATGCAGCGTCCGGGAATGCAATGGATTATGGAAGTCCGTAGTAATCTGCTGCTCATTGACGACAATCATGTGGATTTGATAAGATAGTGCGCTGTTTTTACCGATAAAAGTAGCTGCAAAACAGCAGGACTTCAATTATGCTGAAGTGCTTTCTTGATCCATTAAGCAGCGAAGCTTCTTAGAAATATCCGCTGATCAAGACAACGATATGCGGCGTCAGCATTGTGATCAAGAGAGGGCACAAAAAAAGACGGCTGCAGATAGCATGACCCACTTTGATGTTGAATTTTATATGAGAACTGCTTTGATTTATTCGTTTTAAAGAATCGAATACCGAAATATCTTGTAGAATAACAACGATTGCCTACTATCAATGTTGGCATGACTAGTATGTATCCTGTAGTAATCTTGACCAGTATCTATGCTTGCTTCAGTCTTCCCGAGTTTCAAACTTTATAGGGCTAAAGTTTTTGCACGTTCGCCTTCATCAGAGCCTGAAAGTCGAAAAACCATCTGAGATTGATTCCCTCATGAGGTATGGTGAACCTACGACAGTCCTCTAGATCAGGAGACCCGCCGGACCCCTACACAAGTGGCTAACCTTGATTTTACTAGCCGGAGCGTTAAATCGACCACCCGGCAATTAACGTCTGCGTATCATGGGCAAGCCTACTTCCTTTTTGACCTCACCGTAACATCATAGTCGCAGAGGAAGAGGAAGGGGGTGAGGTTACGGGTTACGTCAACAGCACTCCCTGTTAATATGTGGGTTCCTAGCTGCAATTCAACACGCCTCAAGTGCTTTCCGGGCAGTGGTCTCCGTTTCTAGTGTCAAGATTATTAATAAAATTGTGAATTCGTTACCATCATGGCCCAGAACTCGATGCAGTTCGAAATCTTGGGAGGGCTGAGGCAAGCACATAGCAATATTAAAACTCACATTTTCTGGCATGCTCATCACAGTTCTGAGATGCACTCCATAATCGGCACCTTACACTATCTAGGCGTATTGGATAAATGTACATTATCTGCAACACCCCGTTCCGTTGGTCATCGTTCTAATAACGTCTCCATTCGTCCTTGTCGCGAAATTGCGTTACAAGCCTGTTTCCCCTTCCGCTTGGGTATGTCAATACAATTCATCGAACCCCCAGGTATGAATGGTTGAAGCTCGCCAATATCCAGGAGTAGAGCCGCCTATGAATCTCGGTGTGCCACCTCAAACTTAGGTAATTGAACTATATTTACAACTTTACAATTTGCTACACACAATAATTGTACAAAAATTCAAAGGACATAAAAAAGGAGGAGAAATCGAAGAGCAAGAAGCCGGCTCAACTGAAAGTCAGCTAACAATGGGACTCTTTCGTACGGCTGGAATGTTTGGGTCTGACTGTGGTAGATAAGAAGCATAGATAACTGTTATGTTGATAGTTCAAGCTACTGATCAGCCAACTGATTGGCTCAAGGACGATTGTAGAAATTAATCATCGCTATTGCTGATTGGAATGTCCTATCTAAGGGGCAATTCATTGTCAGGTGCCATGCGCCTTAGAAGGCACCCTCGAACATCCCTTGAAAAGTTTGAAATTATATGCACAATCTTATGAGTGGAATCTTCCATGTAAGAAGATCAGCTCAGCAAGTGAGCCTCTTCGTTCAAATAGTAAAAAGATTAGTTATTCTAGTGTTTATAAGCTTCTGAAGGATGATGTGCAGCCCTGCTAGACATCGAAAATCTATAAGCCTGAAAAACTGTCCAAAGCGAAAATCGGCTCATCGCGAAATCAGCGATAAAGATAGACACCATTCGTGCGGAAACCCAGAGAGCCACGAAAAAAAAAACGCGATTCCCGCTTTTTTGTTTGCTTGTTTTCTCTATAACTGGGTGGGTTTCACTTTTTCCATTAGGTGCGACTCATCTTCTCGAGTTCTACGAAGTTGTGAATTTAAAACATTAAAAAGTTCAATTTCGAAGTCCACCACCCATCAAAGTTCCTGAGGGTTAGTCACTAGCAACGACGCTCGATATAATTATAACCAAAAGGCATTTGCTTCTATTGAAAGTACTCAGTGAGTTCTGGAGTAGCTGGCATACCTCAAAAATGAACGAAAGATAGGAAGTCGCATTAATCAGTCTTCTACTGATCTTTTCGCAACCAATTTTTTCGAAATGGAAAACAGATGGATTCCGTCATGTGCCAAATTTGAACGGAAGAGGCTTATTAAATCGAAAAATTACGAGTATGAGTCAGTTCCCCTTCTCAGTGAGTGTTACGCTCATACTTCGGAAATGGCGCTTCTTTTTATTTTGCAAATCGTGTGCCTAAATTTGAAAGAAAAATCTATTTAGTTCCTTAAAACCCTTCATTCGCCACGTTTTTACAATAGGCGCACGTTTTCTTAGCTTTTTAAGCAAAATTTTCGATGTTAGAGAAGAAGTTTCTCATTTCTTCAAAAGCGATCACTCTAAAGTCCTAACTATCTAACGAATACACGTAAGTACGTGACTTCTTCCTGAATATCGGATATCTTGTTTGAAAAAAAAAACGTATTTTCCAGAAAAAAAACGTAATCGGAAACGTGATTTTTATGAAAACATGCCACTTAGCGGGGTTTGAACGATTAATAGCTTTTTCTCTTCAAATCAGGCGTACAATTTGCACATATGAATAATAATTGCAGTTCCTAGAGCATGAGCATATCGTCCATCGATGATAGAAATTAACTTGTCATCGCCATTCTTAAATTTATAAAGTTACAATCATTTTGAAATGATGCATGGGCTGACTCATTCATTTTGGAAAAAAAAATCGGTAATGTGAAATAATCAGTGCAACCTGATGAATGCGACGGTCTACTTCGTTTGATTTTGAAGTACGTTAGTTACCCACAACCCAGTAAGTACTTTCAATGAAGCAAATGTCTTGTGGGTATGATTATAGCGAGTGTCATTGCTTGTGCTGTATCCCCAGGAACTGTGATGAATGCATTCTTTTCGTGATTTCATGAACAACAAGGGTGAGTACTGTACTAAAGCT